AGAGAGAGAGAGAGAGAGAGAGAAACATTAATGTGAAAGAGAAACATCAATTGTTTTCCTCCCGTATGTGTCCTGACTGGAGATCAAATCACAACCTTTTTTGGTACAGGATGATGCTCCAACCCAGTCACCCAGACAGAGCTAGGTGTGATTTTCTTTGTTTATCTTCATTGGGGTTCATAGTACTTGAATTTGTGGTTTGATGGTTATCTGTCAGATTTATAACATTCTCAGGTATTATTTCTTATTATTTATTTATTTATTTATTTATTTATTTATTTATTTATTTATTTATTTATTATTTTGAGAGAGAGAGGAAGGGAGAGAGAGAGAAAGAGAAACGTCAATGTGAGAGCGAAACTTCTATCAGCTGCCTCCTGCATGCCCCCTACTGAGGCTCAAATCCTAAACCCAGACATGTGCCCTGACCCGGAATCAAACCAGCAACCTTTCAGTGTACCCGATGGATGCCCAACCAACTGAACCACACTGCCCAGGGCTATTATTTCTTAAAATGTTTTCCCTGCCTTATTCTTGCTCTACTCTTTTTAAGACTCAGTTACAACCTCTTTTAGACATTTCTCTTTATCCCTTATACCTCTGACACACTTTTTTTCTGTATTCCATCCTTTTTTTTCCTCTCTGTATTTCATTCTGAATATTTTCTTCTGACCTGTCTTCCAGTTCACTCTCTTTAGCTTTGCCTTATCGTCTGTTAAAGTCACCCACTGATTTCTTAATTTTACTTCTCACACATACTTATTTTTCTTGTTTGTTAAAATGTTTATTTTTGTAAAAAATCAATCAATACAATGCCATTTCAGGGCAAAAAAAAAAAAAAAGGAAGATGTGATACATATATACAATGGAATACCACTCAGCCATAAGAAAAGATTAAATACTGCCATTTGTAACAGCATGGATGGACCTTGAGAATATCAAGCTAAGAGAAATAAGTCAGGCATAAAAAGTTAAGAACCATATGGGGGATACAAACTGAAAGCAAGAAATGAACAATCAAGAAAAACAAACAAAAATTCATAGACCCAGACAGCAGTATGGTGGTTACCAGGGGGAAAAGGGGTGGGGAGAGGTAGTAAAGAGTAAAAGGGGTCAAATATATGACGGCAGGAGATTTGATTTTGGGTGGTGAGCAAACAATACAATATACAGATTATATATCATAAGATTGTACACTTTAATCCTTTATAATCTTATTAAACCAATGTCACCCCAGTGAATTTAATTTTAAAAAGAGGGGAAAGCAGTAGTCTAAGACCACTCAACATGACTTGTCCATTAAAGAAAAAAACCTCAAACATACATGCACATGCTCACACATACACACACACACACAAACAGCAACAAACAACAACAAAATACCCCAGTATTTTTCAATGGTATACTCAGTCTACAACAAACAGAAATTCAGAATTATTTTACAATTCTTCCTTTTTAAATACAATAGATGCCCATCTTGAGTATGTGTGTGTATGTGTGTGTGTATATATATATATTCAGTTGTTTACTGTTGACTTACTTATAACTATCTTAATGTTACTACATGCAACTGTTTCCTTTTAACAGCCTTTTATTTACCTTCATGTGACTAGCTTCCACCTACCAAAAGTTTCAGGTTGGCAGGCAGAAGGGTGCCTATTTTCTGTGAAACTGAATACAATGTTTTTACACACTGGCCAGAAAAATTTTTATTGCCATTTCAACACATGTTAATAGATACATTGATGCCTAAATTGCCATTTTCTGCAAAAAGCTGTGCAGTGCTGGTGTCAAAGACTAGACAGTCACTCTTCATAATGGCTGCTTCAATTTCCTCATGAATAGATAGAGGAGTGGCTTCCCAAGTTAATCGCTGCCTATGATCAGTTAGCTCTAGTCGATAAGCAAAATTTTCAGCTTGCTCGCGTGTTCCTACTAGCTGTACAATGGAAAAGAACTGCTGGTATCCATCATAATTTTCCTTTTTCTCCAAAACTATCATGAAATGAAAGCCATAACAGGACTGCATCATCACCCAGTCCAGAGCACCAGACAGATTGATGTCTGTAGCAAGCAAAACTACATCCTCTCCCTGCAGGGTTTCAATGAATGGGTGTTCATGCATCAGATGAGGCATGACAGCATCCAAAGCACCTTGCCACTTACAGGAAGTACCGGGGCATGGGCAAGAGCAAGGCTGAAACTCACAGAGCTCTTCGTGGTTTGCTTTTCCTTTGTGTGGCAGAGTTGTTTTACATCCATAAGAGGCATATTTGCAAGGAAAAAGTACTGAATTGGCCAGTTTCTCCATGGCCAAGTTGCGAATGGCTCCCAATGGGCCCTGGCAGGTTGGACAGCCTGTGAGCTTTGGGTGACAGTTGTTACACACAAGATGGCCACTGCGACACTGGAAAATGGGTGGTAACACACAGTCAAAGCAGACGGGACACTCAAAAAGAGTGGCTAAGTCATTGTTGGATGCGGTTGTGCCCATCGGGGAGGCATCCTCTGGGACAGTGTGCACTTAGAGGTCCCAGTAGGTCACGAACGCTGTTGTAGTAAGGTGGCTCATTTCTGTGGGTGGAGAGTATGCCAGACACCCCGGCCCTGTTCACACTCGCTCTTCTGTCCCCACCACCACCAATCCCCGCTACTTCCGGAAGCGCCACCAACTCTTACTGTGCTGACACCTACAGGACACCACTGGGAAACTATGGTCTGCTGCTGCCGCTGCTGCTACCGCTGCTGCTGCTGCTGCCTCTGGCCAGCACAACCCACGCAACAGCTCCCTTTGTTATCTCTTGGTTACCACGGAGTAGCCAAGGTCCTTAAGCCCCGCCCCCAGCCATGGCCATTTCCGGTTCCTCTA